TGGCGGCAAGCATAGTGATTGATGTTGGATCTACTTCAGGGGAACATTTTTTAATTTTTGTTTTTATTAACCACCTCCCGTCCGGCCGTTGTATATAAACGACCGGACGGTGGCAGTGCAGGGTCGGGTGGCCATTTATAAACGGCCTCCCCACCCCCTGCTTGTGCGTGCTCCCTGGGAGCACACAGCACCGAGATCCGGTGCCCGCTGTGTCGTCGGATGGGACCTCTGTGCGAGGTCCCAATCATGTGATCACTTATTGGCCACTTCTGACATCATTGCTTACTACGTGTGAAATCTGTGAATGATCACAGAGGTCACATGGTACAAGGTTATTCACAACAGCCTTGTACCATGTGACAAGCTGTGACCAATCACAGCTCACTCAGTAGTTCTCAATGGCTGCAAAAATGCAGCCAGAAAGAAGGAGAAATTGCTTTTACAGCCTTTATGGGTCTAAAAGCAATGTGTGTAAAAAAAAAAATCATCACCCCCCACAAGTAGTACAGTGTCACCATGGTGACACTGTACTGCTAGGGTGACAGTATGTAAAAAAAAAACCAAAAATAATATTATAAAAAAATAAAATAAAAATGTAAAACAAAATGTTTAAAAATTATAATTTTTGGTTATAAATTTTTTTTTTTTACATAATATGCAGCGGGCGATGTCGAGGCGCCCGCCTACACAATGTGCAGCGGGCGTCGAGGCGCCCGCCTACACAATGTGCAGCGGGCGACGTCGAGGCGCCCGCCAACACAATGTGCAGTGGTTGACGTCCAGGTGCCCATCTACATAATGTACAGTGGGTGCCTAAGTCAGCAGGTGACGTCCTGTCTACTACAGTGGGTGATGTTATAATGTAGGGGTGAGTCCAGGGGTGACGTGGGTGAGGCGCCCGCCTACATAATGTGCAGCGGGTGACGTCCAGGCGCCTGTCTACATAATGTACAGTGGGTGATGTTGAGGCGCCTGTCTACATAATGTACTACATAATGTACTGTAGCCATGGTTGTAGAGCTTTCCCATTGACTGTTATCTCTATCTCTGGAACATCAACATGGCAAAGGCTAGTGAGGCGGTCACATGACCATGCATTCGCCAGAGCTAAGGCAAATAAATCAGTTTTCCGGGTTAGTGCGGGCCACGCCTTCTCAGTGTTGATTGGCCGAGTGCAATGACTGAGGCGGGGTTGTGTTGTGGCTGTGAGGTTGCTGTGACAGCCCAGGTTGACAGACAGCAGGGCTCAGTGTCAGTTCTCCAGGAAGAGGTGCGGAGATGTCTGCTCAGAGCACAGGAGGTAGGATTACAGGGAGGAGATCGCTGTCTGTGAGTGTACACTGTGATCAGACGTGTGTTCTCTGTGACAACTATTCTCGGACAACTTTCCTGTCTTCTCTGATCAGTGAGATTAGATTTCTATAATCTGTGTGAGCTGGCTGTACCTGCATGTAATGATTTCTGGAACGTGATTTCATAACTGTAATCTGTTTTGATTTCCTTTTTGCTGTTTGTATTTTCTTGTGTGTGTTGTGTATGAGCAGCCCTGCTGTGTTTACTGTGCATGTCAATCCTGATCTGTTTTGGGTTGATGTGTATGCGGTGAGCTCTAGCAAAGCATACAGGTTGCCTGTGGTGGCACTGAAGTGCATGCTAAGATATCTACACACATCATATAGCTGGTTGATGTCAGGGATTTCCACAGGTTTGAATGGTGACAGTGTATACATTTGTAATGATATCAAATCTCTATATGAATATGGAGGGTCATGCCAATGGAAGGTTCAGTCATCCCTCTATTGTTAGGCCCAGTTGACACTACCTGTGTTTTAGTTGCTTTTTTTCTGCTTCCAAAACGCACAGAAAGTAGGTTATATGGTTGTCAATGTCATAGTTCACATCAGTGCTTGCAGTTCTAGTGAGTTCCGGTTGCAGAAAAAAAAAGTAGAACATGACACATTTTTTCTGCACAGAACTGTACTGGAACGTGGTAAAACGCACTGGAATGCACATGTCCCTATTTAAATTGAAGAAAAAGGGGAGAAAATTAACTGGAATGCATAAAAACGCACTGGAATGCGTAAAATACGCACATGTTGGAACGCATCTGGACTGTGTTTCTATAGTGTGAACTGGCCCATAAAGTTGAACGCCAGAATTCAAATAATACTAGTGTGATACCCTAACCTGCCCGCTAAACATCAAAAAACTCCCTTAGGGCCAGTTCACACTACATACGTTTCAGTTGCTTTTTTTCTGCATCCAAAACGCACAGAAAGTAGGTTATATGGTTGTCACTGTCATAGATCACATCATTGCTTGCAGTTCCAGTGTGTCCGGTTGCAGAAAAAAAGTAGAACATGCTACATTTTTTTCTGCACAGAACTGTACTGGAACATGGTAATATGCATCAAAAAGGCACCAGAACGCACTGGAACACATCAAAATGCATCAGAAATGCACTGGAATGCACATGTCCATATTTGAATTAAAGAAAAAGAGAGAGGGGGGAAATGGACTGGAACGCATCAAAAATGCACCGGAACATGTAAAAAACGCACATGCGGAAACGCATCCGGGGCTCATCTGGACTGCTTTTCTATAGTGCGAACTGAGCCTTTAGTGCTTATAGATTCTCCAGAAAAAAAAATTGGTGGCTGCAACCAGTTGACAGTGTTCCCACAATCACTAAGTGTACCAACAAATTATTATTTTGGTTGCGCCTTCCCTAAAAAGAAAACAAGTGTAATTGCTGCAATGTGCATTAATATATTCACTGACCAATAAAATTAGGCATACTCTAAACCAAGGGTATTGAATTAAACTTCAAGGAGGTCCGGTCACTAAAATCTTCTGGCCAAGGTCCGCAAATAAATTTCCCCATTAGTGTTCCACCTTACCTCAGGTTTCCCCCCCAGAGTAATTTATTACATTGGGTGCCAGCATCAAACTTGCCCCATAAATCAGTTGCCACCATCATAGTACCCCCCTATGTCAGCCATCCTCATCAGAGTGCTCCATTAAGTAATGTGTTCCCATCAGAGTGCCCCCATACATCGGGCATTCCCATCAGAGTGCCCCTTTACATCGGGCATTCCCATCAGGTGCCCCCTTACATCGGGCATTCCCATCAGAGTGCCCCCTTACATCGGGCATTCCCATCAGAGTGCCCCCTTACATCGGGCATTCCCATTAGAGTGCCCCCTTACATCGGGCATTCCCATCAGAGTGCCCCCTTACATCGGGCATTCCCATCAGAGTGCCCCCTTACATCGGGCATTCCCATCAGAGTGTCCCCTTACATCGGGCATTCCCATCAGAGTGTCCCCTTACATCGGGCATTCCCATCAGAGTGTCCCCTTACATCGGGCATTCCCATCAGAGTGTCCCCTTACATCGGGCATTCCCATCAGAGTGTCCCCTTACATCGGGCATTCCCATCAGAGTGCCCCCTTACATCAGGCATTCTCATCACAGTGCCTCTTTACATCAGGTTTCTGCATCAGAATGCCCCCTTATATTTGGTGTCTCCCATCAGTGTGCCCCCTTACATCAGTTGTGCCCATTAGAGTGCCCCATTATATAAGGTTCCCCCATCATGGTGACACCTTACATAGGGTGTGCCCATCAACGTGCCCCCTTACATTAGGTGTCACCATCAGAGTGCAACTTTCCATCATGTATCCCCATCACGTCAGGTGTGGCCATCAGAATGCTCCTTTACATCAGTTCCCAGAGTGTCCCTTTACATCAGGGTTCCCCATCACAGTGCCACCTTACATCAGGTATTCCCATCAGAGTGCCCCCTTACATTCAAAGTACCCCTTTCCATCATATTTCCCCATCAGAGTGCCCCTTTCCATCATATTCCCCTATCAGAGTGCCCCTTTCCATGATATTCCCCATCAGAGTGCCCCTTTCCATGATATTCCCCATCAGAGTGCCCCTTTCCATCATGTGCCCATCAGAGTGCCCCTTTCCATCATGTGCCCATCAGAGTGCCCCTTTCTATCACGTGCCCATCAGAGTGCCCCTTTCCATCATGTGCCCATCAGAGTGCCCCTTTCTATCACAGTGCCCATCAGAGTGCCCCTTTCCATAGTATGTGTCCATATCAAACATGTGTCTTATGGCCAAAGTTAATAAGCTATAGATAACAAGAAAAGAGCTTTTATTAAATATAAAAATGAAGGAACGCTAACATTGTTTTAACATATACAGAATATGCAAAAAGGAAATCGAGGCCGCAAAAATTGAAAACGAACAACAGATTGCAAAAGATAGCAGGACCAACCCCCAATTATTCTTCAAATATATTCATAGTAAAATTGGTCGGTGCAAGCATGTAGGCCCTTTACAAAATAATCTAGAGTGGGTGACTGGGGACAAAGAGAAGGCAAATGTATTACATACCTTCTTCAGCTCTGTGTATACAAAGGAGCATGGGGGAGCTCTTGTCCATAATGGGCATGGTATTGACACCGCTCCAGATGATCCACATTGGCTCACAATTGATATGATCCAGAAAATATTGAGAAAGAATAAAGGTGAATAATGGACCTGGACCGGATGGCATACACCCACGGGTCCTTGAAGAATTGAGCTCTGTCATTTCAAAGCCATTGTTTCTAATGTTTAGGGACTCTTTAATGACTCTCATAGTACCACTGGATTGGCGTAAGGCCAATGTAGTGCCTATATTTAAAAAGGGTCAAAATCTTTATCAAGTAATTATAGACCTGTTAGTTTAACTTCTATAGTTGGAAAGATACTGGAGAGCTTAACCACCTCCCGCCTGCCATATGAGGAAATGACGGGCTCAGGGCGGTTCTCTTGTTCTGGGAGGACGTTATATGATGTCCTCCCACTCTAACCACGAAAGTGGTGGTGCGCTGTGTCCCTGGGACACAGCAGATCACCGATCAACGGAAAGAGCCGAAGGGACACAGTGGATCACCAATCAACGGAAAGAGCCCGAAGGGACACAGCGGATCACCGATCAACGGAAAGAGCCAAAGGGACACAGCGGATCACCGATCAACAGAAAGAGCCGATGACGTCAGCTGTGTCCAATCACAGCTGATCGCATGTAAATAAGGAAATGCCGGTTATTAACATTCCTCTCCTCATGAGCTGTCATGCTGACAGCTTGTGAGGAGAGGAGAGCCGGTAATCTGCATTACTCATGTACATTGTGGACATGTACACTGATCATCATAGCACTGATGATCTCTGTTCCTTGTTGATCAGTGTAGCCCCATCAGTGCCACCTGTCAGTGTCCATCAATGCCACTTGTCATTGCCCATCAGTGCCACCTGCCAGTGCCCATCAGTGCCACATATCACTGCCTACCAGTGCACATCAATGCCGCATATCAGTGCCCATCTGAGCTGCCTTTCAGTGCCGCCTATCAGTGGCAGTCGGTGCCGCCTATCAGTGCCCGTCAATGCAGCCTATCGGTGCTGCCTATCAGTGTCAGTCAGTGCAGCCTGTCAGTGCCGCCTATCAGTACCATATATGAAGTGCTGCCTTTCTGCCCATCAGTGATGCCTGTCAATGCCCATCAGTGCCTCCTCATCAGTGTCCATCACTGCCTCCTCATCAGTGTCCATCAGTGCCGCCTATCATTGCCCATCAGTGCAGCCTATCAGTGCCCATTGCTGCAGCCTCATTAGTGCACATCAGTGAAGGAGAAAAATTATTAATTGATAAAATGTTATAACAGAAACAAAGAAAAAAATTATTTTTTCAAAATTTTCTGTTGTTTTTGGTTTGTTTAGCAAAAATTAAAAAACCCATAGGTGATTAAATACCTCCAAAAGAAAGCTCTATCTGTCTGAAAAAAAAAAATAAAAAATTCAAATGGGTACAGTGTTGCATGACTGCACAATTGTAATTCAAAGGGCGACAGTGCTGAAAGCTGAAAATTGGCCTGGGCAGGAAGGGGGTATAAATGTCTGGTAGGCAAGTGGTTAATAAAAGACCACATAGATGAGTTCTTGCTGGAAAAAATATTTTAAGCAACAGACAGCATGGATTCATGAAAGACAGAAGTTGTCAAACAAATCTGATTTCTTTTTATGAGGAGGTGAGCAAAACCTTGTACAGAGGGGTGGCAGTAAAGGTAAGCTGCCAAGCCATTGTCAAAATCTTCTGAGCTGGCCTGCGCATGCACAGTACTCTCTTTATTCAATACCAAGGAGACTTCATACTACACTGAAGTACTGAGTATAAACTCATGTGCAGGCCAGGCTCACAAGATTTTGAAAAAACGATTCTGTGGCTCTGTGGATGGGGCAGGCAAACAGAAAATTTGACTGGGGACAGTGCAATGTATGTGTATCGCACCAAAGATGCAGTTACAGTATTACGTAGTCATGGCCCATTCACACCTTATGAATTGCGCTGCACTGTGCAGCCTTGTCCAACGCAGTCCCAGTGCATAGTCGAGGCAATTTTCCTTATGTCCGATCAGTTCAGTGGTCTGTGCTGAAAAAAAGTAGGACTTGCTGTACTTTTTTTCAGTGCAGCGTGTTGTGACGCTGTACACCATATTGCAACTTACTGCTATGAATGAATATAAATTAAATGTCAGTTTGTGACATTTTAGCTCTGGTTCACACTGATGCAGTACAGAATTTGCAGCGTTTTTCTGTGCGAATTCCACACCGCATCAGAATCGCACCCCGTTCATGCTAACCGATGCGGTTGTATGTTAAGTTAACAGCACCCCGAAATCGGTCGGCAGAACACGGTGCAGAATTGGATCGCATAGGTGTGAATACCCATGCGATCCGATTCTAGTGTGGACCCAAAAAAGGGTCCTGCACCTTTTTGGTGCAGTGCGATTTGAGCCATACATAATGTATGGCTCCGATCGCACCGCACACAAATCACATGTGATTTGCACAGGAATGCGGTGCGGTTCCTGTGCGAATCACATGCGATATACAGAGCAGCACAAGTGTGAACACAGACTAAAAGAAGATGAAATGGTGCAATGCATCATTTACAACACATCAGCAGGTGTGAGAATAGTGGACTGGCAGTGAAAGGATTAAATACAGGATTAAAGTTAACCTCTTGGCGCTGGCTCCTCCCGGCCCTTTAAGAGTTTCAGAAGCTGGGGGGCGGGGTTTTAGGGTCACATGATCGGAAAAGGTCCTGATCGAAAGGGGAGATAGGGACCTTTCCGGGAGTCACGGAGACATGTGCTGGGAGCGCGCAGGGCGCCTGCTGTCAGCACATATGTATTTTCTAATTGCAAGCAAATATGCGGCCGCTCGGCGTCAAGGCCCAGGCGCCGAGAGGCCGCATATTTGCGTGTGATCAGCGTCAAGGGGTTAAGTTAAATTAACTTAATTAAAGATTAAGGCTGGCCATACACTATACAATTTTCTGTCCAATTTCCTTTAGATTTACCTTCAACTATGTAGTGCAAGGGCCTGCCTAATTGGATACAGTTGAAAGTGTTGTTTAAGTTTGACCTCTTATTATATGGTTTTTGGTAAATCTAAAGCAAACGTTTCAAGAAAATTGTATAATATATGGCCAGCCTAAGTTAAATAGACCCATTTTAAAGCTATTCTTAGTCCCAAACCAAGGCATATAACATTTTCTTTGTGTTATATATTATTATGGGAACTATTACAGAAATAAAGACTGGCTTTTTTTTCAGTTTAGTAAATGTGTGAAACATTTCCAATACCAAAAACAACAAAATGCTTTTAGGCTGGCCAAACAATTTTCTTGTACAATTTTTCTTTAGATTTATTATTATTATTATTATTATACAGTATTTATATAGCGCCAATAGTTCGCTCAGCGCTGTACATTACAATGGGGGACAATACATGAGACAGTTCAATAACTATACAGTGCGATACACGAGGGGTTCGAGGGCCCTGCTCCTTGGAGCTTACAATCTAGGAGGGTGGGGATAGTGGTACAGGAGGAAAAGCTGTGGGGGATGGAGTGGTAGGAAGAGTGGAGGAGATCAGCAATTAGCAGGGGGTGGGGTAGGCTTCCCTGAAGAGGTGGGTTTTTAGGGTGCTTCTAAAGGAGAGGAGAGTGGGTGATAGTCTGATGGATTAGGGTAGGGAATTCCAGAGGATGGGTGATGCCCTAGAGAAATCCTGGAGGCGGGCATGGGAGGGATTGAATTTGATCCGTTGGGCAATCGGAAGCCAGTGGAGGGATTGGCAGAGGGGGGTGGCGGAAACGGAGCGGTTGGTAAGGTGGATGAGTCTGGCCGCCGTATTCAGGATCGACTGAAGTGGGGATAGCCTGTTGTGAGGCAGGCCACTGAGGAGGGAGTTGCAGTAATCGAGTCGTGATATGATGAGGGAGTGGATGAGTTGTTTAGTGGTTTCTGGGGTTAGGAATGGGCGTATTTTGGCGATGTTGCGGAGGTGGAGTCTGCATGAGTTTGTTAGTGATTGGACTTGGGGCTGGAAGGATAGATTGGAGCCAAGAATGACACCAAGTACTCTGGCTTGTGGGGCAGGCTTGATGGTGGCATTGTTGGACGTGATGGAGAAGTCAGTGGGGGGGGGGGTAAGCTAGGAGCTCGGTTTTGGAGAGGTTCAGTTAAAGGAAGTGGAGCGACATCCAATCTGATATGTCACTCAGTAGGCTGGTGATTCCGGCGGAGACTGAAGGGGTGAGGCGAGGGGTCGAGAGATAGATTTGCTTGTCGTCGGCATATAGGTGGTAGTTGAAGCCGTGAGAGTGTATCAGTTGGCCAAGGGAGGAGGTGTAGATGGAAAAGAGAAGGGGCCCGAGGACAGAGCCTTGAGGGACCCCAACAGAGAGGGGGAGTGAGGGGGAGGTGGTAGTGTTATAGGTAACGCTGAAGGAGCGTTGTGATAGGTAGGATGAGAGCCAGGAGAGAGCGGAGTCTCTGAGGCCAAGGGAGTGTAGTTTCTTGAGGAGGAGGGGGTGGTCGACTGTGTCAAATGCCACGGAGAGGTCGAGGAGTAGGAGCACTGAGTAGTGGCCATTAGCTTTGGCGGTTAACAGGTCGATTGTGAGTTTGAGTACGGCGGTTTCGGTGGAGTGTAGGGAACGGAAGCCGGACTGTAGGGGGTCGAGGAGGTTGTTGTCGTTGAGGTTGAGATTTACCAAAACCATATAATATGAGGTCAAACCTAAACACTTTCAATTTGTATGAAATTAGACAGGACCTTGCACTGCATAGTTGAAGGTAAATCTAAAGGAAATTGAACAAGAAAATTGTATAGTGTATGGTCAGCTTTTCATCTGAAGGGTGTTCGGCTCTCAGCGCTACACACTCTTGCTGGATTGACCATAGTAAACCAAAAGGCTATGTGTGACATGAATATGGCCTCAAATTATAAATACAGCAATCAATAAACAATGGGAACTACTGAGCCGGGAGCCCAATACCTAGACATACAACTACTACACGCTAGAAGTGCTGCTGTGTAATCAGGGAGAGAGAACTTCACCTGTGAAGACAAAAGAAGGGAGAAAACAGCGCGGACCTCTAGTTAACCACTTGCCCTCCGGACGATTTACCCCCCCCCCCCCCACTTCATGACCAGGGCATTTGTTGCTGTGTGGTGCTGTACTACTTTGACAATTGAGCAGTCATGCAACGCTCCACCCAAACAACATAATTACAAGTATCCTCCTGCGCTCAATACAGGCAAGGTCCCTATCTCAACAGCTGCTGTCACTTTACCTTAAACCATTAAGTAGCCAAATATATACTATAAAATAGTGAAGCGCTAAATAAATAAATATATATATATATATATATTAAGGTGCCAACAGTGAGTGTAAGTGCTATAGTGTTAACAGTTCCTTGTTAAACACTGGAACATTATAACCAATAGTGTATATTAAATAGAAAAAATCAAACTGAATCCATAATATATCAGTGACGATAAATAAATAAACAAACAAACCAGTGACAAATAATCTTATATCTCCAAAAAATTCCTTCTTCTCATTCACTATTTAGAGTGAAGAGTGCTCATCAATAATAAAAAGTGAACACGTGTATACAAAAAAACTTTTTTAAGTGCATATATAGAAAATATATATATGTATAAATAATATATCATATATATATATATAAATAAATAGAGTCCATGCAAGTGTAACTTGTGATAGAACGGTGGTCTTCACTTCTAGTGCTCAAACACAAATCCTCAAATGGCAGCAGTGCCTGCTCACCTCCCCGCACTGACCCTCAAGGGGCCAAAAGGCTACTGATCTCCTCTATGGCCAATCTTTTTTTTTTCTCCTCCTCCTCTCGGTAGCTCAGCAGGTGATCACAGGGTCTCCACTTCTCCTCCACTCATATGTCATATAGGACACAAAACAGAGCTTCCCATAGTGTAATATTGTTTAATATAAGCCACTTCTATTACATATCGGTTGTACTCACATTCGATTTCCTGGTTACAAAAGCCTTCCACCTCATCCCATAGGTGTATCTCATGAACACAGGGGGAAACCAATATGGC